TTATAGGTGTTGAGATGGTACATGAGATCTTTTGTTCCATCAAAGGCCTCCATCTGAGGCATTCTGAACTTTGGTGGAAGGGAAAAATGTAACACCTCTGAGGTGAAGGGAGATTCTGTCTGCTGGACTAGGGATAATCACTAGAGTTTTGCCCCTTACAACCTCCTTCATGTGGCTGAGCTCCTGTTGGATCTCCTTGAAATGATGCTCCCAGAATTGGTCCTTCCTGTATAGCTAGAATGGGGGAAACTCGTTCTTATGAGTTCCCTTGTTCTGCCTTTGCACTTCCTCATCTTCTCCATTCTTTCGACGACATATATTATCGAATGATTGGCTATGCTCATTCTCCTCTATATTTTTCCTTAAGGGATTGAGATGTTGATGTTCCCCATGTTGGGGACCATCCTGGGGTGGTTGTGCCCTCTAAGGTTGCTGGGCTTGGATGAGGTTTAGCAGTTCCTCGTTTTGCTGGAGGAGACGCTAATTGGCTTGTCGAAGGGCCTGGAGTTCATTGTTTAGAGGAAGATTTTCCATTTGAGGGATAGCTTCAGGATTAGGCAGGTTTTCCTGCTGTCTTCTAGTGGCGAACTCTAGTTGGTTTTGTAAACGCAGAGGGTTCATCTGACTTATGCTTATGTTGCACGTAGAAACCATCAATTACTGAAGATTTCAACAGGATTTTTACAGGAACAGTCGTTTTAACAGACGGTGCCAACTGATGATGTATGTCACACAAATGAACAGAGCTAATGATAACTATGGATTAAAGGGTCATTGAATAGCTCATTAGAGCTCCTATGCTCTTAAGAATTGAACAGGAGGAAGTGGAAATTGCACACAAAGAATTTATAGTGGTTCATTAGCTCGGGTGCTCAGCTAATTCATTTTGAAGAGAGTCTCTTGCTCTTAGAGATATTATTGATAATGGGGGAAAGATTACACATGATATTTTCTTAGGCTAGGTTCTTATGTCCTGTTGTGAGGGATATGCCTTTTATTGATAGCCTTCAGAGGACTTGCATGATCTTAGCCTTCTTCTCGTAACGCTTGAGCTTTTTATGCAATCGTCATGGACATCGCTGAGACGGTTACAACTTCTTTACCTAGATACTAGGCAGTTACGTAATGTGTGGTGCGTGGGTGGAAGCCAACTGTCTTTTGTGCTATTCCGGCGGAGGTGCAGTTGTTGGGGAGGTGGCACCGACCTCAAGTTCCCTAGTCATCGGGGATGAGCTGAGTGGTCTAAGCTAAAATCCTGAATTCAACCTTAGGAATATTTTGGGTATCATTAGTTATGAATAACCCAGAAACAAATACTGGTAATAATATCAGTAAAAGAACATTATCATGTGCTTCTAGGCATGCAGTAAACTCATCGTAGTTAGTGACTTATTCTTGAATAATAAAATGGATTACCTAGCAAGTCTATGGTAAAATGCAATGAATTGTTTTAAATGAAGATCAACCCTTATTTAATTGCTTTTCTTTTATTGAATTGATCCTTATCAAAGCAAGATTCACTTGATTGATAGATTACATAAATATATATGCTTTTTGTTGGGCCGAAACTAGGAATTTTATTTTGGTATTGCCACTTCAACTACAAGATTTAATTAATTTTTCAATCAATTAAAATATAAGGATTAATTTATATATCTATAAAGACAATTGTTGAGAACCAAGAGCCAATGGTAGGCCATTAGCAAGTACTTTCATGTTTAAATGAAGAGTTAAAAAAAAAAAAACCCTCAAATATCCAAATCAATGTCAATTGCAAAAAAGCCCTAATACAATAAAAATGCACTAAACAAGAAATTAAAAATATAATTGCAACTCATAGTATAACGAAGCATTGGTAAAACAAAAAAAAGAGAAGTTAAATAAGGAAAAAATCATGAGTAAAAGGCAAAAAATTAGCAAAAAATATCTTGGATAGTACATTATTGACTCATCACATCTTATATGTGTACATAGAAAAAAGACAAAAATTTTAATGTTCCATTTGGTACGATGAAAAAATAGAATGATGAAAAGTTGGGGGATAGATAAAGAGCAATGCTATTAAGACATAATTTTTTAACCTAATTCATTTTGACCTTTGGATTGACTGTGTCTCTATCAAACGTTGGAACTTGTTGTTGATTCAATGGTTCCACTGAAACCACATTATTATGTCAGTAATTTAGGTCTGATTTTTATGTCCAAATAGGATTACTCATATATAAAATATCATGTTTGGTAAGGAAAGAAAATATGAAAGATGAAAAAATAGATGAATGAGATTTTCTTCCAACTCACCAAAATTGAAAGGAAAGTGGATGAAAAGTTAATTATTTGTATTAAAATATATCTTATTTGTCTATATATCGTTTGATATACATATATATTATGTATACATTAATTTCATATATAAATACAATGATAAAAATATGTATTTATATTTTTTTAAAATAAAAAATTAAAATTAAAAAAATATTTTTTATATTTTATCAAGCATAAAAAAAATTAATTATTTTTATTCATCTTATCAAAAGACAAAAGAGAATTGTATTGGACGACCATCGGTGCCATTTTGCCGTTATGTGCTTTTATTAATGTTTTTCATCTATGTAGTGATAGATAAGGGGCACAAATGGTAGACACGTGGGTAGCCGCTGGGTAACTCAAGTTAGATAAGTGGAACGTGGTTTTAGGTACTTCAACCGATGTGGGAAAAGTAGATTGTATATGAAACCTCATAAATTTTCCCACGTTGTATTCCGGCACTGCAATAATTTCGTACCTGCACCTGCAATAATGTCGTACCGAAATTTCTTTTAGAAGACATAGTCTTATTCTATATTAAGTATTGACTGTGTTTGCTCAACCATCCAAACCCTTTCGAACAATCCTATATCATATTCTAGGGTCAGCTTCTCGTTTTCAGCCTTTGTTCTACACTGGTTCTCAGTTGCACTACTTTCTTAATCAGGTCTCTCTCTCTCTCTCTCTCTCCCCTAAGGCTATGCATGAGATAGAGAAATGGCATTAGGAGGTAAAAAAACTGACTTAATATATTAATAAATTATTTATTAAGTGATAAAATCTCAACAAAAACTCCAATAGATAAAAGTACTATAATAATGTTATTAAACTTTGTCACTGTCTTGTCATTAGATCAAACATATTAGGTCATTTTTAGATTCAGATAATATTATTGCATGAGTTACTTACAGAAAAATAGAATTACTTGTATGAGTTAGCATATTAGGGGCATGAGTAGGGAGCTATGAGAATTAAAGGATGAGTAGAGAACTATTAGCATATTGTGGGACGTTTTTGGAGGAGTAAGAGTTAGCATATTAGGGCATGAGTAGAGAGCTATGAGTTATGAGTTGTGATCATCATATTTTCTGTTCTGCTTATCTTTTTTATTTAACATCTTTTAAATTGAATTGCTAGTTTAATCAACTAAAGAAATTTTATTTTTGACATACTTTAACTTTACTTGAATGTCGTATTTGTATGAGTAGAATATATTTTTGATTCAGAATTTCATGCTCCATGAATAGTTTATGACTTTCCAATCTTGTTTGACAATGATATTTTAAATTTGTCACCTCTCTTTAGGTTTCGACTTTAAGTTTGCCAACTAGAATTTTTTAACGTTAAATTTAACGTAACGCTGTACACGGATGTAAAAACTGTATGAGTGAAAAATGTTTTCTGCGTTGAATTTTATATTTAATGAACTTAACAGTATTTTATTTTCAATGACTCGGTGATTCTTTATATTTGTCACGTTTTTTAAGTTTAGAACATTAATTTAACTAACCAAATCCTCTTATCTTTGACCTACCCAACTATTTTAGGATTTAGTGTTGATCTTCATATATTAAGCTAGTAATAACCTCCTGAAAACAGTCAGCAATGTTGAAAATCAAGTATTGATTGTGCAATATTTATATTTTGAATAATAATTTATATATATTTTTACGTAATTAAAATTAAATTAAGCAAAAAAAAAATAAAAGAAAGGTATGGGAGAGAGGAAAGAGATGTATGTGTATATGATTGGAGTTTTTTGGTATTAGAGAGCATGTTGATTGAATTGTCTGACATTAAAACTTGTGTAGAGAAGATGATATTTTGAGCGAAAAAAAAAATTTGAGTTGAATTTTTTACCATTCAATCAAAGTAAATAAAAATTAAATCAATTCCAGTCGTAAAACTTATTTTGGTTTATTTGTGAACGTTGATCTTAAAAATGATAATAAAATATGAAACACTTTGCGTGTGTCATGCTCTTAGAAGGTATGATACTGAAAATTTACTTTCATGTAAACCTATAATAGAGTAGAAGTTAATGGTAGAAAAAAAAATTTCAGTATTATACGCCATTATAGATTTTTTTTTCTTTCCCTCCTCTTTTTTCTTCCTAACAAAACAAAGGATAATATTACTTTTTATCCCATTTTTCATCCGTTTATTTGTCATCTTCCCATATTAAAGTATCCTTTTGTTGTGATTAAGATCACATTCGATTATTCATGTGCAAATCATTTCTATCAAGTAAATTCAGTTTTATGTAGTTAAAAAGGCTCGAGCTTAAGAAATACAAATTTATTTCTCGTTTTATTTTTCTTATATTGAAACTCTGTCTCACACACACTATAGTTATTTGTCAACATATAAAAAACTGAACATTCGAAATGAAGTGATGTTTTAGGGTAATAATAATATGGGTTCATTGTGATTTAGTTATGAGTTTCAAGTCATATAAGTAGTTACGTGAGATCAAGACTTCATACATCAGACTATCCCTTTCTCATACCATCACTATACCCCCACAATCACGAAAGTCTCATACATAGGACTTCCCACTATTTTGAATTTTAGATGGTTTGTATGTTCAATAATGCCACGTTTGACCTATTTTTCAAGTGTTTGTACATAACTTTCTATGTATTGGATGGTTCATATATAGTTGAGAGCTTGAAGCATTGATTATAAGCAACAGGATGTGGAAGCTTAAGATTGCTGAAGGTCATGGACCATACTTGTACAGCACAAACAATTTTGTTGGCAGACAAGTTTGGGAGTTTGATCCTCAAGCCGGGACCCTTGAGGAAAGAGAAGAAGTTGAAAAGGCTCGCGAGGTTTATCGGAAAAATCGAAAACAAGGAGTTCATGCCTGTGGTGATTTGCTCAGTCGAATTCAAGTGCGTAACAACTTTCCCAAACTCGAATCCGAGACGTATTGTTTGAATAAATAAATTCAGATTTCCTTTAGAATATATTTTCTTAGTTTCATTCAATAGTTAAATTATATATGAACCATATATATGAATAATAAGGGATTCACTAATTATAAGTGAGTCCCTCTTGAGTTCATTATAGATGATCGGTCTACTATTGATTGAATTTGAGAAAAAAAAAAGTAGTAGAAAAGATATTACTTATGAGAAAATGAGCATTTTTTGTCACACTAGATCCAACCTTTATAAAAGTATGTGACGTAAGATTTGATGAATGATACTTTGAACCTTAAAAGATCTTAAATTCTTAATTTATACTATGGATTTGGGTAATGTAAGCTCAAGCCCTTACCCGAATGAGTTATCGGTTGGGCTGAGGTTTGGGTGAGGGTAGGCTACCCAAAACCTAACTCGCCACTCACACGCCATGGAACTATTGGGCGGGCCTTGCAGGTGGACTTGCTGAATGGGCTTTTTTTTACATATATACAATTTCATTTAAAATGTTTTCAACTTAATATTTTTTTAAAAATTATATCTTTGAATTAAAAGTAGAGTCAAAATAGACAAAAAAACAAATAATACATAATTTTATTTAAATAAAGTAGAGTCATATATTACCACCAAATTTTCAAAGTTCCAATACTTAATTTTTATTCAAATAGGTGGAAGGGCAGATAGGTTAGACGTGTGCGGGCTGGGCTGGGCGGGCGAGTTGGGCTAGGCTGGCGAGTGGGCTCATGGGTCAAGTAATGGGTTTGAGGACAAGTCCAAGCCCCCTCATGAAAGATATTGAGCTCGAGCTCAAGTTCGAGCAGACCAACTATTAGGCCTACAGGATTTCAGACCTATTTTTTGGGTTGGATAATGGGGCCCATAAGCAACCCAACCCATGGACACCCTATGTATAATGCATCCTCAATCAAATAAAATGGTAGCAATGTGATCAATTTTAATAAATTGAATTAAACAATAAACAAATAATTGAGTACAAAAAAAAGAGAATAAAAAAACTAGAGCCAAAACAATAAAAAGTGGTTGGACAAAACAACATATATGTTTTTTTTGGACCTCATTACTACATTTTGAAATATATGATTAAGAGTGCAATTTGAAGTTTTTAGCTTCCTTTAAGGTGTAAATTGAGAATTTTAAGATCTTTCAATATTTCGAAGGAGTTTTTTTTTTTTTTTTTTAAATTTCAAAACAAGCATGTAAAAATCATTTTTAAAAACATAAAACTATAATGTACCCATGTTTCCTTTTTTTTATTAAATTAATGGCTTTAATGTTTTGATCTTAAATCCACAGCTTATCAAGGAAAGCGGAATGGATTTACTTAGCATACCAGCAGTGAGAGTAGGAGAAAAAGAAGAAGTGAGCTTAGAGGCAGTCACAAGCGCTGTGAAAAAAGCTGTTCTATTAAATCGTGCAATCCAAGCAAAAGATGGTCACTGGCCAGCTGGAATTGCTGGTGTCAACTTTTTTACACCTCCATTGGTGAGTTTTTCAATTTCATTTTCAATATAAAACAAGTATTGCCATGCATAAACAAAATACTTACAAATTTCTCTCGTACAAATGATCCCATATATGATGTCCTTGTTGTTTCGGAGGGTTAAATATCGTAAAAAATGGAACTGAATTCTCTTTAAGAGATTTATAATAAATTTAATCTACCAAAAAAATTTATTTGGGGGTAAATTCTCACTAATAAATATTTAAGTTCACTAATTTTTTGAAACTTAAAAAATAATCTTCAACATTAAATCAGTTTTCTAAACAGTCATTATTGATTCACACTTAATTGAAGTTTTTTTTCCATAAAATATGAAATTCAAATTTAAATTTGACATTACTATAATTTCTCTCTCTCTCTCTCTCTCTCTCATTTTTTTTTTTGCTGAGAAGACCATGATTAATTTAATATTGAATTTTATGTATATTACTATTTTTTTCTTTGTTATTATTTTTTTGTTGTGTTTATTACTAGCATGTTACTATTTTTTTGATGGGTATGTTAACATTAATATAGAATGTTACTATTTTTCCGAAATATCAATATTCAATGTTAAATTTTTAGTTGACATAAGAAATTGAATTTTATCTCATATACATTTTCCCTCCCAAAACCATCACTTCACCCATTTCTATCACATATTCAATTATTTAATATTTGATTCATTTGGAGTTTAACATAATTTTTATTTTAGATATTATTCATACACGATAGTGTACATATGTTGAAATTTTTTTATCAAATTGTGTTTTTCAAGAAAATTTTGTCAATATTTTTTAAAAAATAATGGGTAAAAATAAAATTTGAATGATGTAATCAAATAAATAAAGGAAAAAAAAATTATTATTTAATATAATGAGATCGAGTTTTTTGGGCTCGAATTTTATATCTTATTGTGCCTTTAGACACGAGTTATGACTGGTATATATATAAGGGAGAGAAAAATAAATAATCCTATTCTATATATGAATATAAATAGATGTGAGAGAGAGAGAGCAAGAGAGAGAGAGAGAGAGAGAGAAAGGGAGAGAGAGAGAAAGAGTCAAACTAAATTTAGGAGTAATTAGTTTTCAAATTTGTTATAATTAATATAACTAAAGAACATATTTTGGATAATAGAGATAAAAATAGACTTAATATTAAATTAGTTTCTTTAATGGATTTATCACCAAATAAGTTCACAAATGGGGATTGACTACCAAATTTCCCATAAATATATGCAAGCTTTAGGGCCGGTTCAATAACATTTGAGGCCCTAGGCAAAAATTTTAGATAAGACCATAAATATTTTTAGATGCATAGTTTATTTATTTTTTAAAAAATTTTGAATATTTAAATTCATATATTTTCATAGGTATATTTAAAGTGTAAAATAACTTGTAAAATAAACACATTGTGTAAATAATTATATTAAGATCAAAATTCAAGAAAATAAAACTGAATATGTAGACCAGAGTTATTAAGAATTAAGATAAAATGAGATAATAGAGTATTGTAAAATGAGACCAGAGTTATCAATTTTATTTCGTATCACTACAATAGATGACGGCACTAAAAAAACTGTCAAGTGAGGGAAAGAAACTCGAAAGAGTTTTCCGTCAGGTGCCCAGTACGACTTTATTTTATTTCTTTTGTGGTTACTGGAAAGAGAAAAAGTAATTTGGACAATAAATTTCTTTAGGCAATTATAATTTCAAGTCTTTTTCGCTTTCTTTTGTATTTTCTAGATAGCTAATAATTGTCTTATGTATCACTTTATTTTTATGGGGCTAACTGTTGGATTTGCTATTATTTGCATGCAGATCATTGCCCTATACATCAGTGGAACACTTAATACTATCCTAACCCCAGAACACAAGAAGGAGTTGCTTCGTTTCCTTTACAACCAACAAGTAATACCAGAAACTCACTGTTTTTTTTTCTTTCTCTCTTGTTTTTGTTTCTCTCCCTCGTAGTGAAAAGGTTATACTAATTATCTAACTATTGGAATATGACAGAACGATGACGGCGGATGGGGATTTTATGTTGAGGGTCACAGCACCATGATTGGCTCGGTGCTTAGCTACGTCATGTTGCGTCTTCTCGGAGAAAGACCTGATGATGGTGATGGTGCAATCGCAATAGCCCGAAAATGGATCCTCGATCATGGGGGTGCCACGGGAGTACCCTCATGGGGAAAGATTTATCTCGCGGTTAGTTAGAAGTTCTAACCAAGAACTTATATTGATTATGCTTTTAAAAGACTCTGAAATAGTGTTAGACCTAATTATCTTGTAAGAAAAATAAGGGGTAAGTACACTTTGTTCCCTCAAACTATGAGCTTTGTATCTCTTCTCTCCTGAACTATTGAATTTCTCATATTGGTCCCTCAACTACCTAAATTGATTTCACAGTGCCCAAAACACATACGTCTATTATTTAAGATGAAGAACATGTCATTATGTTGGGACAAAGTGAACAAAATCACTTAGTTCGTGGGTCAAAATAAAATAACTTTCTATCAAATTTTTTACTCATGTTAATCATTAGGGCAGTGTGAAACTAAGATCCGTAGTTGAAGGTGCAATATGTGGCATATTATAGTTGAGGAAGTAAAGTGACACAAAACTCGTACTTTATTCCTTTATCTTCTACGCAAATGTTTAATTTGTCCGAATATTATTGCATAGGTGCTTGGCGTGTATGAATGGGAAGGATGCAACCCGCTGACCCCAGAATTCTGGCTTTTCCCATCAGTTTTACCTTTTCATCCAGGTACATAAAGATTTTTCTGTTCCTCTTGTATGGGTTGATTAGTATACTGTTTACTTATGTTTCATTGATAGAGAGACATGATAATTGAAACCGATATCTACCTAATAAGAAAAAATTAAACTATGACTCTTACCCATTAGACTTCGGGATAAAAAGCATACGAAATCGTATGAGAATTGGATCGATATTTAGAGCCAAAAGCACTCCAAATACCATCTATAGTCTACGCACCTGCCATTAGGAGATTGTAGTTGGATGAATTTTCTGTGGTTCCACGTTCAGCAATCTAGAAGAACTAGAAGCTCGAAAGAATTGGTCAAAGTAATTGATCTGTTTCATTTTATTCTTCTCCTAGTTTTATAGCACACCCACATAGAGGGATATTTTCGAAGCTAAATGCGTTGCATCTATTGTCTAAGTGAACAAACCTTTGTTTTCATTGTGACTGTAGCAAAAATGTGGTGTTACTGCCGGACTACTTACATGCCGATGTCTTATTTGTACGGAAAGAAATACCATGGGCCAATTACTGATCTTGTTCTGTCATTGAGACAAGAAATTCACCCCCAGCCCTATGATGAAATAAATTGGAATAAAGCGCGCCATAGCTGCTGCAAGGTTAGTGATATCCCAAGTGAATTTGTTATTGATCAGAAAGTGTAAATGTGATTAAATATGTATAGCTGCCAATGCAATGCAGGAGGATCTCTATTACCCTCACTCCTCTGTACAAGATCTGTTGTGGGATACTCTTCACTATATTACCGAGCCAATCATGAAACGTTGGCCATTCAACAAGCTAAGAGAGCTAGCACTACGAAAAACAATTAAGTACATGCGCTATGAAGCAATTGAGACTAGATACATTACTATAGGATGTGTAGAAAAGGTAAGAAATAAGCCAAATGATATGGATATCAATAGTCAAAAAATAAGTCTAAGTCTTGTTTTTGTGCAGAGTTTGCAAATGATGTGTTGGTGGGCAAAGGACCCTCATTGTGATGAGTTCAAGTATCACCTTGCGAGGGTCCCCGACTACTTATGGCTCGCTGAAGATGGAATGACAATGCAGGTTTGGTTTACGACATTCTTTGATTTTAGTTAGACGTGTTAATCTTTTACTAAATTAGATAAGTGGCTACCTTAATGTTGCAGGGTTTTGGAAGTCAATTGTGGGACGCGGCTCTTGCCACTCAAGCAATCTTGGCAAGTAATATGGTTGATGTATATGGGGATTGTCTTAAGAAGGCACACTTCTTTATAAAAGAATCACAGGTTTCTTCTTCTACCTGAACAAAATGATTTTCTTAACTAAGTTATTTTCGATAACATCATTTTAGTAATGTGTATTTTTGAACTAAATTCATAGTGTAAAGAAAATCCAGGAGGAGATTTTAAGAGTATGTACCGCCATTTTACAAAGGGATCATGGACTTTCTCAGATCAAGATCAGGGTTGGACTGTCTCTGACTGTACAGCCGAAGCACTAAAGGTCATTTGGCTTTTGTTCGATATTATTGTTGTGAAATTTACTTGATACTGAAAACTTTGTATTATAAATAAATGCCCAATTTCCACTACAGTGTCTACTAGTACTTTCTCAAATGCCACCAGAAATTGCTGGAGAAAAAGCTGATGCCAAGCAATTAAATGACGCTGTCAATGTCCTCCTTTACTTGCAAGTATGAAATACAAATTAATCTCTAATTTTGGGTACTAAAGATCGTTACCCAAAATTTTGCTTGTAGGCTAATTGCAGTTAAGAAATGAGTGACTAATAATCTCTAGTTTTATTTCTTTCCCTTCACTTCATCCAGAGTCCCGAAAGTGGTGGTTTTGGTGTTTGGGAACCCCCAATTCCACAACCTTACTTACAGGTACTGTGATCACTGTTGACATACACATGTTCCAAATGATGATCAAAATAACCCTGCTTTGTATCTTACTAACAAAAAACAATTTCTTTGTTTTTTGTTGCTTTTCGATCAGATGTTGAATCCTTCAGAAGTTTTTGCAGACATTGTTGTCGAAAAAGAGTAAAAGATCTAATCATTCAAATTCACTCACTTGATTTCCATTGCAAAAATCTTTGCAATGCATAGAGTCATTAAATTTTACAATTTTATGGTTTGTTTAGGCATCTTGAGACCACTGGATGTATAATCCAAGCTCTGGTAGCCTTCAAACGTTTGCATCCAGGGCACCGAGAGAAAGAAATAGAAATTTCTGTGGCGAAAGCAGTACAATTTCTTGAAGAAAAACAGTTGGCTGATGGTTCATGGTGAGTAGATTTTTGTTGAAGTTGATCGAATAAACAAAAATACAGAGTAGAGGATTTGTTCTTACAAAAACAAACTTAGCAGGTATGGCTACTGGGGAATCTGCTTCATTTATGGCACTTGTTTTGTGCTAGGAGGGCTTGCTGCTGCTGGGAAGAAATATGAAAACTGCCCATCAATTCGTAAAGCTGTTCAATTTTACCTCTCAACACAAAACGAAGAGGGTGGTTGGGGAGAGAGCCACGAGTCATGCCCAATAATGGTAGCTATCGTATCTATTTTTCTATTTCTAATTAATTCTGGCATTTATACTCGACTCCTACCTTGATTAGATTGGTGCATGCAGTTTGCAAGTCAGTGAAGTCCGAGTTGTAGTCACCAAGTCCAAAGCACATCCAATAACACTATTAGGGTGTACAACAACATTTCAATTGAAAATTTATGTAGGGGGTGACACTACTGCTAATGCTTTTATTCAATTAGGTCTAACTAATATCTAATTTTTTTTGGAAATAGAAATACACACCGTTGGAAGGAAATCGAACAAATATTGTACAAACAGCATGGGCTATGATGGGCCTTATGCATGCCGGACAGGTTTGTGTCAATTTTGTACTGAATGTTAAACTTACACATAGTTATTTGATAAGCGAAATCATTCCACACACCCTTGGGACTCATGGTTATTTTGTAAACTTGAAATGAGTGCATATCCCGAGTTTAAATAACAAGCATGAATCTAAAAGACCTGTGGTTGGGATTGATTTTGGTTATTACAAACAAAAGTTATGTATATTATTCTTTTAGTTTACTGGAACAAATGATTGATTCTTTTTTCACTTTTGCTTTATTAACTAGGCTGAGAGGGATCCAACACCTTTACATAGAGCAGCAAAGTTACTGATCAATGCACAGATGGATAATGGTGATTTCCCTCAACAGGTATGGCTCTAAAAAAATTGGCTTCTGTTATTGATGTTTGTTGCTTTCACTACAAGAAAATTCATTTCTTGTGATGATTTGTTTTCGTCGCAAAAAGCATCGCAAATTATTTTTTGTTCGAATATCTTTTTGACATATGTTTAGTTTTCCTCCTAATTAATTTACACGTACAGGAAATTCTTGGAGTGTACATGAAGAACTGTATGCTACATTATGCAATGTATAGGAGCTATTTTCCATTGTGGGCGCTTGCTGAATATCGTAGGCGTGTTTGGTTGTCTTCCCAGAACGCCTAAGTTTTCAAGTTCGAGAAGTAATATAATAAAAATAAGTACTTTTTGTACTTCATTGTAATGTAAATTGGATGTAGCACTTAATAAGAAGTAGCATTTTTTATCATAATCGAAAATTTCATGTATGATAACATTGTCAGCAAGACTCACTACTTGTTGCACATTTCAAACACCACTTTTTGATTAAAAAAAATTAAGAAGCTTAAAAAAAAAACTTTAGAAAAACGTTACCAAATGATACCTAATGTAACAAGGCTACGGATAACATATCCAATTATTAATCTATATTTATATTTGTTTTTCGCGGTTGAGATTTTTTAAATTTTACTTTAAAGTTAATTCGATATCTAATATTAATATTCCAAATTTAATAGGAAAAATAGTCTCTAAAGGTGTTTGAGGTGGTTTTTAAAAATATTTTTAAAACTTATAACTTTTCATAAGTACTTAAAAAAAAGTAGTGTTTGGAACTGTTTTACCATAACCCATTGTCATCTTCCACCACCATCATTGTTGCCTACCACTACCCACCATCACCCATTACCACAATCCACCACCACTCTTCGTCCCCTGCCATTGCCATTGTGACCCACCCTCACCACACCTATCACTACCAACCACAAC